AATTCTCTTTTTTTTAAAAATAGATTTAAACATAACTTATGTAAAAAAAAAAATTGTATGAGACTAATACCTTGCTTTGTCTCTTTCCATTGAAATAACCCACGGATTTTATGTTATAAAAAGACTCCTGGATTGCCAGGACACACTTGAAATAGTAACTTATTGAGAGCCATTTTATGCTTTCAAAAACTTAATAATAGTCCTCCTTTGCACTTAAATTCCAGCACATTATTATTATTTTCCATTCTGGATGTGAACATATGCATCTAACCAACTATTCTGCCTTTCATATTATAACCATATGCTTGTTTTAAAAGGATCAACTATGCATGGAGAAATAAGTGCTACTATTGCTCTTTCATTTACCTAACAACCATGTTCTTAACAAAAATACTCTCTCAGAAAGAACCCAAAGAAGGTAACGCAACAGAGACAGACAGTGTCCTGTGGGAACTGTTAATTCATTGTAAGAAGCTAAAAGCGTGAACACTCATTTCTGGAGGTGTATTAAAGATAGATGAATGCCACAACTACAGGTGGTTGGGACTCTTGACAGTTGGAAGAACAACATTTTTTTTCTTTCAGGTTCATGAATCATTATTCTCTTGCAGCACCACACTTTTCTTACAAAGACATAAGCTTTAAACACTGTCCTCAACTTTTATTGGAGAATGTGTGCAAGAACAACTTCACCACCTATTCTACAGACTACCACCCTGAGCCACTTGCTGCACTCAGTTAAAGGATTAAATTTGAAGAAAGTTTAATAAATTATTACTTTTTCCCCTCCACTATAGGCCAACGAACTAAAATATTTCGTACAACAGTCTGAGGCAAATGGCATCGTTCCAAAGGTCCCACCTGTAGATCCTGCATCATGAGCATGGTCAAGGCCAGCAACAGAACTCAGCTTCCAGGATGGCCTGCTGTTCACAGCTGGTACTCAAATACTGCTCCCTCCTATGTTCCTTTCAATTGCCTCAGTCATTTCAAAGAGCTTACGATGACAGGGTTGGAGTTGGCAGTACTGAAACAAACTAAATTCCAGAAGAAATTAAGCAGGATTTTGTAAGCTTGTCAGAGATTTAAAGAATCACGTGGAATGAAGCATTTTGACAGAACCAACCATTCAATTCAACACAGTACTACTGGAAGCAATACGATAATTTCAGAATGAAGCAGGCACCTTCAGAATCAGACTAATAACCTTCTCTGAAGACATATCAAACAAATTACCTATACATTTCCTTCCTATCTCTGATCAGCAGGTCCTTGTTCAACCATGCTAGTTTCCTACTACCTCTGCCTGATTTCATGCACTAATGGATGGAGAGTTCTTGTGCTACAAGGTATTCTTAAAGAGCTCCCAGTTCTGCTCTGTTCCTTTGTCCCTAAGGACAGTTTTCTAGGGGACCTCATCCAATAATTCCTGAGCTATAAGTTCACTCTTCTGAAGTTCCAGGTCCTAACTCTGCTCTTTGCCAGCCTGCTTCCAAACTTTTCCAAACTTAACCTCTTTAATGATCTCCTCTACACTGGTGAGTACCAGGTACAACAGTAGTGCTTCACCTCTTGTTGGTTTGTCTAATACCTGGACCAGAAAGTTATCCACAATATACTCTGTCTCCAGGAGAACAGCTTCTAGCTTCCAGGATCTCTAGATCATCTACGATCATCCCTGACATTTTTTTCTGTGGTGGTTATTGAATAGATAAACTCCTAAGTGCTAAACTCCAACAGAACATAAATTTTCTGGTAGTAGAAACACATAGGTTCTACTTCTCCACCCAATCATAGTACAAAAATCTTGTTTTTTTTTTTTTTTTTTTTTTTTTTTAATTTTTCTAGACTTCTAATACTTCCCACACAGGTAAACTGGACCAAAATATTCACAGTTGCTTGCCAAAACTGCAAACGTGCTTAGATCAGATAAATCGCATGTAGAAGTGTGGGAGCAGGAACAGAATTTCTTACTTTACATGAACAACTTGACAAAGCATCTCCACTAACATCTTGGTGAACTTCACAAGTTCAGTTCAAGACAGGAATTTAGTCTAAATGTTCTTTTTAGTACAAGAGACAATTAAAGTGGTCCACTGGGAAAAGTCTGAGGATAAATACATAGAAGACAAATTTAAATCCAAAAAAGAATAAGTTGAGAAAAGGAAAGCAAGGCTGCAGTCCATGGTCAATTTCACAGAATTAAGATAAAAATACGGAGAAACTGTTCAGCAGTGCAGCAATAAGCCATAAATTCAACGCTAGAAGCATTCTATTACAACTATGAAAAGGAATATAAATTAATATATAAAACAAAAATACAGTGTATTTACTGGGGACAGCCATAGAAATAACAGTAATTTAGTTGTAATCTCCAATCGTTAGTGAAAAAGTCCTTACAGTTGTGCCTGAGCAGGCACCCGGACAAGCTGATCTTGAGACATCACTTCCAACATCAACTGTTCAGTGATTCTGAGACCACTTAAGCATGTCAACATTGAACTGAATTCTTCGCCAGTAGCTACTTGGAACACAGGACCAGACTTTCCAGTACTCCTCAGTATTATATATGGATGTTGTTAATACAAGTGATTTAATTACAGTGAGTGCTAAAGGAAGTAACTGTTTAACATTTATAATTTATCATCGCTTTAGGACTGCAGAATGGCTTGTAAAGTGATATTTAAGACACCGTGACCTTAAAACACAGCACTGAGGCAGCTTACTAAAGTCTAATAGTCAAATGTAGCTTGAAAAGGCAACAATCGCTGAGCGATGAATGCTCTATTTCAAACATTGATCATTTTACTCCAGGGAAAAATAATTTTCTGAACTATAACTTATCAATAAAAAACTGACAGGAATGAGTACGAACTATAAACTGTTTTTCAATTTTTACTGTTTACAGCCAATGGGATTTCCAGATAAAACTCCACAAAACAAGGAGTAGAATACTGGGTCACAAAGAAGATCTCATACTGCAGAACTGAATAGTTTTGCAAAGGGCTGATTTCCCAGTCTTGCTACACAACATATGTAGCGGCAGCTATATTTAGGGAAACACAAACACATATACTTCAGCATATACTAAACCAGTCTTACTCACAGACCATAACAAGATTCAAAAGAACCATAACTGAATTCTTAACAGCACAAGCACCAGACTGAGACCTGCTGCAGCAAAGCTGAACAAAAGGCCACATACTTTTCAGAGTAACTTCAAGAACAATAAAAAGAGCCCTTTTAAATCATCACACCCTTTAGACCCTTTTTGTTTAGGTCTAAAGCATAAGGTTTGCTTTCAATCAGCTTTCTCCACCACCCATGTTATTTTGCACTTCAAAATATTGCTGTTGTCTGAAATGGGACTTACAGAATAAATATATCAAAGCACAAAAAAAGAAACCTCTTCTCTTTTTTTTTTTTTTTTAAACCAATACATTTTCAACAAAATAGAATTAAAGAAATCTCTGATGATCTAACTTGTTCTCAGAATTTCCCCAACCTTGTGAATACGCTGTTCCTCCAAGTTATATAGCTATATACAAAGTTTTATTACGGAGCAAGACGAGACACATAGGTGGTGCATAACAAGCATAGTTTCAAGAACCAGTAAGGCTGTGACATACAAAAAATATGTAAACTAAATTTTTTTCAATGACTGTTCAGAATCATTACTGAATATGTTAGGAGTTTGTTTGACAGAATTTCCATTTTGAATATACATAAAGATTATAAGATGAAACACATGACAAATATTCCTCAAAACCAATGCCATTGCTTGGTTTTTTGGTTATTTATAATTTGTAAGTATGATGTCATGAAAGAATAACAGATATATCCTGGTATTCTCTTAAGTGGCATATATCAGAAGGAAAGGACTTTCTCTTCCCTCAAGGTTTGCATTATAGCACTTTATTTTAATCAAGGTATTCAGCTGCCTCACAAGTTCACATTCATAAACTGCTTGTGTGTTTGTTATATAAATGTCAGTCATGTTTTTGTCTATGTTAAGACAGAAATCAGAAGGGAATCAAGCCAATTTTCAAAGCATCATATATCACTGCTGCTACTGTCCATATAAAAGTTTAAATATGTACATATATTTTAATCCAGGCAGCAAACAATGTTTTATTTCATATTTTAAATTCTCAGCATGGAGTTCTGCACTGACCTCACTTCTGCACTCATGAAGATGATCCCAAACCTACAGCGACCCTCTTCATGACGCAGAGTAGCAAGACACAGAAGATTTTTGAGATAAGACTACCAGAAACACAATTTATATGCTCTAAAAGGAGTACTGCTTGTAGATACATAGTTCTGTAGGGCCATAATCAAAGCAGCAGTTTTCTCCAACCTACAACTTTACAGAGACATCCTCTTGTCCATGAAGAAGGAACCCGAGGAGTTAACTTTGAAGTATGATATTCAATGATGGCAGCACGGGGCTTTAGGTTGCAGTGCAGGATTGCATACAGCTGTGCAGATCCATTGCTGCTACTCCAGGAGTAACTGTCCTCCCAAGGAATGGAAGGCCTTCGTGGTCCTGGTGGCTTTTGGGTACCTGGTAGACAGATATGCTCAAAGCAGTAGGGAGACTGCCTCAGGTAGAAAAATTTTTGTCACTGATGTAAAATATATTTGTGCAAACGAACATGTAGCATATGAGGAAAAAAAGAATGAATAGTGCTACACATGACTTTCTTAAACTCAACTGACTAAAGGAATGAGGCTGCATACAAATTCCAAACAGAACTGAATTCCTATGAATTCGAAACTAAAGTATTCAGTGAAGATGATGTATCATAGGTTGTTTTTTGTTTGTTTTTTGCTTTGTTTTATAGATAGATGTTATTTACATAGCTGACACTGAATAACAATGGCAATATTGTTCCTGAAGTACAAGACACTTTCTGCTAAGTAACTTTTTTAAAGTCAATACATCAGCTAACAAATTTAAGAAACAGATAAGAATGCAACTTGACAAAATAACATCCTATTTTCCAGAGATCAACTGTCTCAGTTTTATTTTAATCAGAGATGAGATACAATTCCAAGTCTATGCATTTCACAACTTAAAACATCTGAAGTAACTTGAAATAACTTTTTTTTCTTTTAAGTAAAGCATATACAGGAGTTTCAGGGTACTCAAGTTAACAGGTTAGTCTATAGGAATATTATTTTCAACATATGGGCAAAAGGATCAACATTTTCATTTTGATAATTTCTTTACCTTTCCCTTCCTCCTCTGTACACCTCCTGAAGATAAACCAGTTACATGATTTTATCCACTAAGTTCTAGACATAAGCTTATTACTGAACCAAGAATTTCACTTTCAACTAGTTACTCATGGTATATCTTTTCATAGTGTTATTAAAAATAAAATGAAATAAATAAATAACTACATTTCAAAAAATGTCACCTATCAGTTTGAATTGCTGAAAAAAATTATTTCTGAAATTCTTTTTATTATTACAAGGTAATTCTTGTAATTACTGAATGTTATTGAACATGAACTGGAGAAAACAGTTATTTCTATATAACGAAACTTTGCTCAAGTAAGCAGAGAAAAGCTACAACAGATTAATATAAAATAAACATTATAGAAAGTTAATATTTAAAAGGCACACAAATGCTTCAAACACATACAGTTTCAAATCTTTATTGTTTTAAAATTCTACATGTCTTTTACAATTACAATAATTTGTTACTTAAATGACTCTCATATGGTTAATGTACAATGAGTTTTTTCCTGAAACTCAACCATGAAATACAATTTCATCAATATGATTTTTCTAAATAGATTAATACAAGATTTCTGGTTTGTCAGGAAGAACAAGTGCTTCACTTTGAACTAACAGCACATGTGTCTTCCCTTCAGAATCTGTGATCAATCCATTGAAAGTGCTTTTGAAGATTGCAGATCTAACTGTGACTGATTTCCAAAATCAGTCCATCAAATTACAAGGGTTTTTTGTTGTTTTTTTTTTGTTTCTTTTTTTTTTTTTTTAATAACATTAAAGAGCATTTTCATGTAATGAAACAAGTTGCAGTAGTTATTTTTATTCATCTACTGAGGCAAACTCATGTTGAAAAATTATATGATTATCTGCATGCAATGAACACTCCTCTTTAAATAGTTGATGAATTTTACACATATAAAGAATCTGTTAAAGAGTGCAAGTACTTTGATAATGATTTCACAAAAGGACATATGCTGGTAATAATGGTAACTAACACATAACACCTAAATACAAGCTAATGTATATTTAACAGGCAATTAACATGGCTGACAAACCATGTTGCATGTGGTTGCCCTTTGAGAAAATGAACGCATTTGGTCCACACTCCTAAAGTTATCAGGGTAAAAAATTGGAACAGTTAGGGCCAGAGACTTTGATGCAACTCTTGTTTCTAAAATGTGACCTGTTAAAAAGTAAAAGCAGTACATCAGTGAAGTATTTTGTCACGTGAACTCAGTATAAAAACATGGCCTGGTATTTGGAGCGACGAATGAGCACTGAAGGACAAGTCAAAAAAGAATGGAAACAGAACGGACTGAAATTCTGTTGTGTTATACTTTCTTGTTCCACGGTACTGCTTTCACTCTGTAGAATTTTGTACCCAGAGGAACTTTAAATCTGTTTTGAGCCTACAAAAGCCAAAAAGAAAAACAAAACAAATCACATTAGAAATGTAATCGGAAGCCCACTCCTCTGACTAATATATTTTTAAGCAAAAATAGACTCCCATCCTTCCAAGGTTGGCAGACTTGAGAGAGTTGGCAAAGTTCCTCCATACTTCCTCACACTAAATGATTTCTATATCTGGGCCTTTGATGAAGCTCATTATTTCTCCTGATGCTTAAAGGTACCAACATTTTTCTAGGAATCAAAGCTAACTTTAGTAATTGCAGTCACTGAAATATGCTTGCACGGGGTAATCAGAAATGTTCAGGAGGATCCATATAAAGCAAAGTTTCCTCAGACAGGCAGCTTTTCCAGGGGCAATCCTACCTACACTTGCTCACTTTCCCTTTTTTCTAGTTCCCCTTCTCTTGCTATTCAATGACTTGAAAAATAGAGCAGGAATGGCAGAACTCCGGACAATTTTTGTCCTGAAGAACTCTCATTCATTACTTTAATATTTTTACAAAGAGAATTTGATTTTCTTCTCTATTAATTTAATCAGATGATGTTTCTACTTCCATTTCCTTACCTTTTTTGCCTGGCAATATTCCTTTTCCATCACTTTCCCCAGCACCCAAGGTCTCCTAGATGCACCTGAAGCTAAAGAGACAATATATTTATTATTATGGATACTCAACTGCAAGTAACAGAATATTACAGTAACTACGGTTAAAGACTATATCTTGAAAGCATAAGTTGAACCAAGAACAAGTTTTGTCGTATATTGTAAACAGAGTCACAAAAATTAAACAAGTTCAAAGATGTAAAAAAACAGGGTCACTAGAATTTTCAAATGAAAAAATGCTTGCTGTTTAGATTTCATTTGAAAATTAGAAAAAACAAAAGCAAGTCAAAACTCTATAGCTTCATTTAAGGGCTGAAAATTATTCTAGTCAACCCAGCCTCATCTTTGGGCCTGATTTAAGATGGTTATTTCTTGATGTATTTCAACGGAGTGAAAATCTCCACACAAAACTTTCAGCTTGTATAAATTTCTTTAACAGTAAGGAAATGTTTATTTCTCTTCTATTCTACAAAACATTATCTAATTGTTTTGCTCTTCTCAAAGTATCAATGATCAATGGCATGGATACAGCATCAAAAACAGACTGAAGGAACAGCTCAAATATGCAGTGCGTCATCAGTGCTCCTCTAAGCGTGACTATGACCAACTATATCTAGTGCTAATAACATAAGTCACTTGAATCATTGTCTGAAATTTTATTCTTACTCTTAAAAATTAATTTGGTTATTAATGATTGTCTTAGTTTTGACAGAGACAGAACTGTTTTTTTCAGAGCATGGTATGATGCTATGTTTTGGTTCTAGGAGAAAAACAATGTTGATAACAAATCGTTGTTTATAGTCATTGCTAAGCAGTGTTGTACAGAGCCAAGGCTGTTCAGTTTCTCAGCTCACACTAAGGGTTGAGAGGAAACAGAATCAGGACAGCTGACTTAAACTTGCCAAAGGGATATTCCCTACCATATGACATCACGCGATAGGAGAGTTTTGAAAGGGGTGTGAGTTCATCATGCCCTTCAGCTACTCAGGGGGCTTGCTGGGCATTGGTCAGAGGATGGTGAGCAACTGCTTGTGCATCATTTCTTATACGCACACATACACTTGTCATAACAATTATCCTTTTCTCTACATTAGTAAAGAGTTTTTATCTCAATCCATGAGTTCTACTTCATTTTTTTTTTTTCCCATTAAATTGGAAGTGAGAGGGGGAAGTGAGTGAACAACTGTGTGGTGCTTAGCTACCTGCCAGGTTAAACCACAACAATATTGAAGGAGATTCCATTTTGCTTCAAAATTCTACAGATCTGTGTGAAGTATGTGAAGTATTCATATTCATACCTGACCTGAAACCTCTACAACTAACATTTAAATCAGAAGACGCAGTTTTCCTGAATTTGCTTGAGCAATGGACTTCACTTATTTCACAAAAATGAGAAAGATGCCATTTATCCCTGAAATTTGCAAATGAAAACTTCCATATTCGGATGATGTGCAACAACACAGAAACCTTGCAGCCTTCAGCCAATTTCAGTGTCATTCAAGGCAGAGAAAACTAATGACAACCTAAATATTTAACACCTAATACTACAGTTAGATCTGTATAGAATTATTAATACAATACATGTTGGTCAGACTCAGAATGTTTCTGGCAGCTCTGAAAATAATAATCTGCAGTGCCTAGCCCTACACCAATTCTAACTTATCACAAATTATAGTGATTTTTTTTTTTTCCATTTTCTCCACTGTACTGATGTGAGGATAAAACCAAGACACTGTTTTCTAAAGTACTGAGCTATAAACAAACACGTTCCAAAAGCAAATGGTAAGTCCTCATGGTTGTTCTTCTTGCAGTTTTCTCAAATTTGAACACTATCTCCAGTTAACAAGTGGTAAAAAATGAAACAAACTAAACCAACTAGAAGAGTTCAGTGAATCACAACTACAGAATAGTACAGAAACTGACACAGAGGTTACCTTATGCATGAAAAACAATACAATCATATTTCACAGATGTATTCAATACCAATTCCATTGTTATCTGTCTGTAAGTATTGTAGCACTTCTTCTCTTACATGTCACAGAAAACACAGCATAGATTCATCAGCAGTTCTGAAATCAGTTAGAGCTTGGTGGCTTTCTCTTTCACTGGGATTGAAAACTACAAGGTCTGTTGACTGAGAGCAAGTTGACAGCTTCTCACAAGCAACATATAGAAGTTTTCACTGAGAAGTCAGAATTAGTACAAAAGTTCCTTTTGCTATATGCTCTTATCACATTTTTGCAACAAAAATATGGAGCACGGTGGGCTGGGAAGGTTTGCAAGACATACATAAGGTACGATAGTTTAAAAACATTTATATGAATCTATTTCTTTTAGTACAACACACTAAACATTCTGCTACTTTTCCTCATTTCAAAGAGATTAATGCCTCAGTTTCGTAAAGTTTACATAGCTGCCAAAAACAGCTGACAAATAATGTAAATATTAAAGAGGGGAAATAAATGCACCACCAATTTCAGCGGCAGCATAAGGAAAACATACAAAAACTATTCTCTGAAGAATAATGGGTCCTGATAAACACAACTGGATATGATGGAAAAATTTTATCAGCAAAAACATTGCTTGCAAATCCCTCTATACTAGAGATAGAATTTAATTTCAGACGCATATGGAATTTAGAAATTTAAATACAAAGTGAACAAATTTTATCCAAAGACAATCTTCAAAGAATATCATAAAGACAGGTATTAAAAAAAAAAGAACTGAACATGCATAGTCTGGAAAGAAGTGTTACAATGAGTTTTGTGTTTGCTTTTGTCAAATAAGTCATTTAAAATTTAAATCTACATAAAAATAAGCCAGAGACATATACAGTTGTACATCATTGTTGCTGATTCTGAATAGTTAAGCACCTATTCACAATAGGAAGGTTTTCCATAGATAATCAAAAAGTTGGAGAACCTGCTCTATGAGGAAAGGTTAAAGCAGTCAGGTCTTTTCATCCTGAAAACAAAAGGTTTGGAAGAATCTCATCTCAGCATTCTAGTACTAAAGGGGCAGTTGTAAAGAGGACAGAGGATCTCTTCACAAGCAGCTACATAGGGAAGACAATGTGCAATAGGTACTAACTGCACTTAGAGATGCTTTGAAGCTTTTGGAACTTCTTTTTACAGTGAGAAGGGTCAAATACTCAGGGATGTTGAATACTTCCCTATCACTGGAGATTTTCAAGATGCAATTGGACAGGGTGCTAGATAATCTTACCTAGGTTCTGTTTTCCTACAAAAGGTTGTAGGACCTGGTGATTTTCTGAGGTTCATTCTAACTTGTGCTGTTCTAAGATTTTATGTTTATGTATACCAGCTGTGGATAAAATTGGCATTTATTACAGCTTACTTTAAAGATGCAGATATTTTCTCCTATTTTTCACAGCTAGATCTAAAATGTTCTGTACTGAATATCATTTAATAGCAAATAGCAATCATTTACTATCAGAATATCATTTAAGAGTGTTAACTTGGAAGACGACATAATAATTGAAAACAATCTGACACTTACCACACTCACCTGGTTTGAGGTCCAGTGCAGCAAGAGATTCAGAGTGCAAGAAATACAAGGTTGGACTAACAGTAAATAATACGTAGTTGTCATGTCTTTCATCTAAAATTATGAGAACCAAATCGCCAACCTGAAAACTGAAGAAATTAAGGAATTTAGCTAAAACAGCATGAAAGTTAAAGACAACATAAATTACACAAAACATAGTTCTACATATTGCCCAAGATGAGACTTCTGTACATAATTTTCTGCTTGTCAACTCGTTCACATTTTGTATTTTGTGAGATCACCAGAAAAAAAAAAAGTAACTGAGTATGTTTTGGAAATGTTTTCCTACATCCATACCCCATTTTTTCCCCAAAAAAACTCACAACTTTGCTTTAAAACACGAACAGGAATATCTAAAAGAATACTAAGGTCTATTTATACTGATTTTTATTCACCAATACTAATGATGATAATAATAGTACCACAGTATTATAACTGTCATTCTACAGCAGTAGCAGATTTGATCACAAAAATACAGCAAAGCATTTATGTAGGTACCTAATACTAAAATTTCAAGCATAAGGGAGGGACGGAAATTTGTCAGATTTCATCAAAAGGTTAAAAAAAAAAGAAACTTTGGTGACTGGCTTTACATAAAAAGTTTAAATAAGATTCAGATTAAATAAGCAATACTACAAGCTTTTCTCCCTGTGCTGATTATGATGACAGACTTTAAAGACTCAAAGACATCTCGCTTGGACAGGTGTATTCTTTCATATTATTTTTCTCCCTGGCTACTTCCAAGAGAGCTGCTACAATATTCTCTGCTCAAAGGAAAGGCTAATTCTGCACATACTACCATTATTATAATAAAAATGCAACTTTGTGCAAATCAGAAAACATTGAAATAATAATCATTTGTTTTCTTTTGTAAAAGCAATTTTGATTGAAACATTACTTAAGCACCCATCTATGGCTTTCGTATTTTGCAATAATTAACAGTTCTCCCCTCAGCCCCCAGTAACAACTATTAACTCTACGTTATTAGTTCAACCATACCTAATGAAATATTTGAGTTCATTTCATTATCTCAAGACAAACATTTTTAAGATTTTGGCAAAGTAGGATGTATACTGAAACAAGGTAGCACTGCACGTTCAGAGTGAACGCACACCCTCTGTTTTTGCAAAATAACAGCTAAACAAAAAGGAACCTAAAAGAAAACATTGGGTGCATTCTAGGAATCCCATGAAGTACTTGCCTTAGAAATAATGTAAAGAACAGCAGAGGGAAAAAAATATAGCAATTAAAAAAATAAAAGTTAAAAAAAAATATCAAGAAAGCCAAGTTCACCAAATTGAAAATGCTTTTTCTTTTTTTAAAAGAAAAGATAAATGATTGATGTTTTATTTATGCTGAACTAGGATTGTTCAATAACTAACATGTGAACTATTGAGATGATCTATACATCTTTTCATTACAAAGAAAGAGCTAAAGAACTGTGATGCTCTTTAATTACATAGTTATTACTGAAAGCACAGTCATCCGTTCATAGGAAAATTGTTAAACAAGTACTTACTCTCTAATTGCTATTTTTTCAGAATGTCTTGAGGATACTGATGACATGCTCTGGGACATCTGTATTACAAAAAAAACAAAAAAGAAAAGCTATAAAGAACTGGCAAGCTATGATGAAGTGTAAATTTAAGGTAACTATATGGTTAAGATAAATTACTCATTATAGGTTTCAAAGCCTGTTTGTTCTTGCAGATCAGTTCACCTAAAAAATCTGCATACATTTCTGCTGTTTTGTTCTGTAGCAGATTTTTTTTTTGTTAATAACTACCTTTGATTACAGAACAGCTGATATTTCCTTTATTATTTAACAAGGAGAAGAGCTTTCCAGAACAGTGTTACTAAAGATATTTTCTGAGTATACAGAAGTGTAGCTATGCACTCTAACATAGATGCCTTTGGCATTCTAAGGAATCAGAAGGTGATACACTGAAATTTAAACTACTTTACTGCAAATAAACTCCAGACATTGAACTCAATATGCGGTCTTTGTTTTACTGAGGGCTGTCACACAATCTGAAGTTTACTGCGCTAAATTAAGTGAGCATCCCCGGAAAAAGACTGTGGTCAAATGTACTAAAACAAAGCAAAAGCAAAAATCTGCAAGTTTTTTGCATGTAATTCTCATCTCCTATATATACAATAAGTCTTGATACCATCTTGAAGCCTATTCACAGATTACTTTCTTCATTTCAAAATACCCTTTTTAACTTTAAGACTATTAGTTCAGACTGAACACAGCCCCACATAAAAAGCTCTTGACTTTTAATGACCCTTTCAGAAGTTTTCTTTACGCATTCCAACTCCAGATTTTCTGTTTTAGACATTTTACTCATTCATATCGTACTTTTTTTTTTTTTAATTATTAAGAAACACCGTAGCTAACATGGAAGTTAGCAACTACATATAACTTGTTCATAGACTTGCTTTAGACTTCGTGGAATAGCTTGGGCTGGAAGGGTCCTTAAAGTCCATCCAGTTCCAACCCCCATTCGTGGGCAGGGCTGCCCCCAAAAGACTCAGGCTGCCCAGGACCGGCCCCATCCAGCTTGTCCCTGAACACCTCCAGAGATGGGGCACCCAGAGCTTTTCTGGGCAGCCTGTGCCTCACCACCCCTCTAAGTACAGATTTTTTTTTCCTAACATCTAACCTATATTTCCCCTCTTTTATTATAATCATTCATTTTAACTGCACCAGTTTCCATCTCATCCTGCTTACTTCCTTGCTATATACATTACTGCAGAGTTCTTTTTACTCTTAACATCTGAAGTTTTTATTTAAAAAAAATTGGACTAAGCATTAAATGTAATTTAAAACACAAGCCAGCTCGATTTCTGTTTTTTATTAATTTCTAAGAAACACAGAACATTATCTCCATTAGAACTTGTTACAACTTGAGAATATTCTATGCCTAGTGTACTAATATAGCCTAATAAACAAAAAGTTCCTTTTCTCAGTACTCAAAAGAAATGCTTTAACCACATCCCTGTCATTAAAAGCTCCATTTTCTTCTTTATTGCTTACAAAGATGACTCGCACATTTTTCTACAAAATCTAACAGGTTAAAAAGGGTTTTTTTCTGTAGAAAATTGTCTGGGTTCCTTATTTGAAGTAGATAAATATAAATATTTATAAGTTAATGCTTATCTAAACTTCAAAAGTGTATGGTAAAGCGGGTAGGAAAAAAGAGGAAGAGGAGACTATAAAATACTTTATTTACAAAACAGCCGAGTTACATATAAGGAATTGAAAGTATATGTTTTCATGTCCATTTGATTTTGAAAATGATTCTGAATTGTTTTATACATCAGTAAGTTGCTAATTTCCCCCACACAGCTTGTTATTAATTACAGTAACAATAACACCTTCAATTTAATTTTATTCTGGTAAGAGAAGAGCTCCAGAATTTAATTCAGAATATCTACACGGAGGCTTGGCAGACTGTTCACCGTGTTTCAGAATATGAAGTATGCTGTAAAAGGTGTTGCAATCTTTTATGACCTTTGCTAGCAATGTGATTAAGGACAGGTTTTAACATGGAATGGAAAGATTTTGGAAAAAAAAAAAAGCAATTTCATACTTGAATATGTAACAGAAATAAGTTCTAAAGCAAATTTCAATCTTATCCCAAACAGAAGACTGTCAGGGTCTCCAACTTAACTGGAAAAAAAATATTCTTACTATGAAATGCAACTTCACCCAAGAACTAAGGTACCAGTTCCTAGTAAATTACTAGATACCATTTGTCACTTTAAGGAAATGGGAGATATCCGTGGCCAGTCCAACCAGTACACTGCTAAGAAAAACATCTGTTTCCCCATATGCAAAATAATTTATTTTTTTGAAGCTTAAGGTTGAGACCTGTTATCAAAGCTAAGTTGTGGGTAAATAAATAGAGAAGGATTCATAGCTCATGAATTAAAATAACTGTCAGCATACTCACTATTCTTCCTTAGGCACTGACTTCAGCGTTAAAAATGATTACTTGAGTATTTTCAGTAGCTAAGCAGAATTGAAGTTTCACACTTGACAAAAATACAACTGCAAGTCAAAGGGCCTCAGAATATTCTGAATGCTTTATTAGGATAATTACATTTTTGGCTTGTAACTTAGAAATACTTTTATCAGAAAGGTGACAGACAATAGCATTGATTTTAACATGCTGCATCCATATTCTTAAAATTGAAGAAACCTCCAAAATGCTAACTTCAAGAAACAATTTCCCAAAAATAATCTCTAAGTTAGCTAGCACTCCTTATATACAGTCATTTATACAGTCTTGTAAACTGACTTTTGATCTACTCTACTTGAAAAACCTGAGCCACAGTGCCACTGGAATTTACTCCTCCCACATCTAGTACGGATAGTCTGTTCTCTTTTGGAAGAGGTCTCTCCAATCTTATTCATTGTTTACATAAGAAAACTGTTAAATTGAGTTAACTCTGAAAGATTATCAGATCATCAGTTTGCCATTGCATTAAAAACACATTCATACATTTTAAGAAGTTTAATATTTGTGATTTTTTTAAAATTTTTAAGGCAGTTAAAACATGTGTTGTACACTTACCAATCTTTGATTTAATCTCTTATTCTCCTCTTCTTTCAACTGCAAAGTCTGAGAGAAAAACTTACCTGATTAGTTAATTAATACAACTTATACAGTATAAACATCTTAAATAGTGTTAATATGACCAAAGACAGAATTCTTGTACAATACACATACCATAGTTATAAAATAGAATCAAAATATAATTCAAAGACCTATACAAAGTTTGAAGGACAGTAATATCCACTGCTACACCAAGTGCTAAATTATGTTCATCTGCACAGTTTTTCTCCTTAACTTGAAAAATATTTCGCTGATAGAAGAGCAACAGAAAATTAATTTATTACTATTTGTAGCTGCCAGATACAAACCACGACAAATCACTTACAAACAGATGACAGAATCAAACATGCAAGTGCTAATAGTTAGAAACATCCAGTCATTATATGGTTCAATATTCAATTTCTCCTGCTAATCTCAGACTTCAAGAGAACCTATAAACCTGAAAGCTAAGAACTGAAACTTAGGGGGTGGGAGAGGTGGAAGCAGGGGCATTAAGTATAAACTTAAAATCCCAGCCTCCACATTAGTTAAATACTTAATGTAAGAGCACAACAATAACTTCAGAATATTTATAACATAACACTTTTAAAACAGTTGTTATTTTGCTTCTTAAAAAAGCAAAATTGTCAAGGCTATAATGCATCTCAGTCAGAACTAAAATGACCGAAGTCTAAGATATCTGTTTCTCAAAGATACAAGTAAATCAATCTTTGTTCCTGACAAATTAGTTCAGATGCTTTGATTTGAAAAAGTTGTGGTTCTTTTTTCCCCACCCGGTGAAGAATTCCCTAGATTAATGACCTGTCACTTATAAAAGTATTACACCTGATGCATTTGTACGGAAGTTCACATGAATAAGGTGAATTAAGCTAGCCCTAGTATAAATAGAGTGCACTAATACCCATTTTGAATGGCTTCAGTTACACTGAAATTAGTACAACAAAAAAACAAATATGCTATATTGCACTAGAGTACATAACCAATATATTTACAATAATTAGCTGCAACATTTAATCTGACAATCTACTCACTCTTTCTAACAACATGATCCTCTGTTTTTCTTCAGACATGTGGATGTTTTCACTAAAATAGAAAGAAGACAACAGGTATGTTAAAACTAATCCCCTACAAAAACGTTTCTTTTTCTTTCCCCTTCTCACTCACTCACAGATGAATGCCATCATTCTGCTAGCAGAATGGAATTCACGGAATACTTTGGACCCTAGCATTCTATCTTATGTAGACAAGGCATATATTCAGGAAAAGAAAGGATCAGGAAAGTAGCAAATAAGAGGGAGGAAAAAAATAAAAATGCAGTGCAGAAAGGTATCTTAGGAATCAGGACTGACAGAATCTTATTTATGTATTCCAAAATAGCTTTCTTTTTCAACCCAGTGAATTTTCAGCCATTGATAAATAACTTACAAAGTTGCATAGAGTCATTTCTGCGTATTTTGCGTTATTTTCAAAATGTTAGCATGAAAACTACAGATCTAAGGCCTTCGGCTGCTAACCTTTGATACTGCAGTTCAGCTTCACAATGCTCTATTTCCCTAATCTTGTCAGTTTAAATGCTCTGTGTTTTGGAAATTCCAGGTAGAGAAAGACCAATATGAATACTGTGTTGCCAACTGTGCATATCTGTGTCCATCTGTGAGATAAAAAGCAGTTGGACACAAGATAACCTAACAACTTAATTAGAAGTTCCCTAAGAACACAGAGTAATTCCTTTTACTTTTAAATTGTATTTTGAAAGGCAGATTACTAGGAACCTACCTTGTGAAGCCCAACTTGATTTGGTTGGGAAAGGAAAACAGACACATTTTTGAACTGATAGTACATTCATCTAGTCTGACAAGACATGCTATAAAACCAAGCAAAATACCAAGTAGAACTAAAAGATCAAGAGACATTTTTGTTATTATTTTGTATTGTGCTTTTAAACTGTTTATTGTCCTCACTTGAAAAAAAGTCCTAATGGATCAACTGGAACAGACCTTCATGTTGAATTTCAGCCCTTCTTCCTATTCATACCAAAGTGTTCTGACCCTCCAGAGGAACTGCTGCCTCTGTAGCTTCTCTAACACAGTTTGGAGGACACAGGGAGCTCAGGACTGTCCACAGAGCAGCTCAGAGGACAACAGTCCCAAACCTGCCATCTTCCTTCCTCAGGGCTTTCCCTGGAGGCTGCAGGGAGCTGAAGCTCACCCACTGGACTCCTGTCATCTCAGTGCAGCAGCACAGAGAATGCCAGTCCCAGTCCTGCTGCCTTCTTCCTCAGGGCTCAGCTGGAGGTCACAGGGAGCTCAGGACCATCTACTGGACTCCCCCTGTTGTTCCAGCATAGCAGCTCAGAGGACACCAGTCCCAGTCCTTCCATTTTCCACAGAGCTTGGGAAAGAAGAGGTAAGAAGTCTTGGGGAAGTATGAGGATGGTGGACAGGCAAGGAAGGGTGACAGTGAGCAGCAACTAGCACAAGGGCTCTCTGGCAGATGTTGACATTTCAATGCAGAGATGGAAAGACAGAACCCCCGGTGCACCACCAATAGATGTGGTGATGTCTCCAGGCAAGCCTGATGTTATAGCAATTGTCTTGCCCTGGTAGAGGTGGATCTACCTCCATTGGTTCTCCTTCTGGAATGCTGTTCCCTGAAGCTTCTTCAGTGGAAGACAATCCATCCTCCCCCACAAAAGTTCCCACCCTGAGTGAAAATGCTCTCTCTCAATTGCTTCTTAGGAAAAGGTAATCAGGATGCAAGTCAGTTAGCAAGTGGTGCTCTGCTGTCAGAGTCCCACATTTATAGCAGTTGTGAGGGAGGTGGCTCGTGGCATCATAAAGCCATGGTGGTGTGATTCTAAGAATGTTCCGTGACAACAAAAACATGACTGGGCTGGGCAAGGGAAGGCCTGAGAGTTGCCCTGGCTGCCACTAGCAGGATCCTGCAGGGCCCCATTTTTGAACTAGTTGTCTGTAATGTTTTCCATGAATGACTCCAACAAAGATCTGGAAGCTATATTAAGTACATTTGTGGACAATGATAAATTGGAAAGAGTGTTGACTCCCTTGAGTGGAGAGGCCTTGCACAAAGATCTTGATAAATCTGAAGGTGGTCACCATTTGCATGATGACCAAGTGCTGGATTCTGCACCTGGGATGGGGCAAACTACAGACAAGGTTCTGGTGAGCAGCCCCAGAAAAGGGATCTGGGGTACTGGTTGGCAGCAAGTTGACTGCAAGTTGTCAGCAGTGCTCCCTGGCAGCCAAGAGGACCAACTGTACCCTGGGATACCAGGCACAGCACTGCCAGCCAGGTGAGGGGAGAGATTGTCACCTCTGCTTTGCATAACCTCACCTCAATTTCTGTGAGCAGTTTGGTTGCCATAATATAAGAAGGACATAAAACTATTACAGAGCATCTAAAGGAGGACTGCAAGATGGGGAATGGTTTGGAGGGCAAAAATAAAGCCCTCCAGACCACTGGTACAGTACCAGTAAGTACAGAATATACAGGACAAATAAGTACAGAATATAGTGAAGCTGATCACTGCAATAGAACTTCATGGAGTTCCCTTTAATGTCTTAATTCAGTATTTCAAACATAGCCATGGCTAGCTATTGACTAGCCTCTGAAAATTGTGATGAACAGTGAAATGTGAGCAATATTTACTAAAAGCTATTTCAATGTTGTAATACCAGTGTACAACAGAACCAGACATCACAGAATCAATTTTATGTACTTAAAAGTAAACCTTTCATGCAAGTTGCTTGCCCTTGGTATTTCCCCTTAAGTATGGATTTAAAATATTGCAGAGTTGTTCTTTCCTAGTCCTATTACTACCTACAAATAAGTGTCCTAATACTGATGATTCAGAGGTTATAAAAATAAAAAGATGCTGAATATCTGTCCTCCACTCCAATAAAACAAAACATCAACCCATGAAGGCTACTCAGTCTCATTCTTTTCTTTTTCTTAATTTGGAGTATTTAGCCTAATTTTATTAAGCACTTCCCACTTACTAAGAAGCATAATTACACTATCTACAGCAGTCACATAAACAAGCAATCACAAATTTTTCTGTTTTATATGAGAATCAGCCACTATTCAAAAGCTATGCTAATAACATAACCACCTAACTCACCCCAGGACCCTGTTATAATTGCTCTTGTTCCACTTTTCTTATTTTTCACATACGTAAACATATTTCTTCACCTTTTAATCAAGTTTCACCTTGAAGCTGCCTACATCTAAGTTAGAAAACCAAGCATTTCTGATAATTGTGATGCCACAATTGTGTGTGTATTATAGAAGGAATAATTTTAGCAAGAATGTCAAAAGGCAGAGGGAGTGTTAAATAAACTCATCTGTACTCCAGAATGTCCAGCAGCATCTAAAAGAGTACGATCTGTCTATTTCTACTACAATGCCCCATACTTACTGCACAGCCATCATACTGGTTTCCATGGTAGAGTCCATCCTCCCTTCAGGTGCAATGTCAGAAGCCAATCTCTCTGTATCAGTGGGAACATCAGCTGCACAGGCTCCACAAGCTTCTGAAGTTGCTGCTAAGTAGGTTGACGGAGAAAGATTACTACTTCTCAGCTTACTGACTTCTTCTTCAAGCTTTTTCTTTTCTTCAAGTAAACGAGCTCGATCTTCAGAAAGTGTTTCAATCAAATCTGTGACACAAGTAAATAAAAATTCCTGTAATAATAGCAGTACTAAGGAATAAAGCCAAAGAAGCAAATGGAATTATCCTATTAGAAAAGACAAATTTCTGCAGAAGTTAGCTTACCCTTATCTTTTTCTTGCTGTTCTGTTAGCATTTTTAATTTGTCACTAAGATCATTAATTATATTTTCTTTCTTCATTTTTTCTCTTGCTAGAACAGTGTTAAAGTTGGTCTGAAAACAGAAAGAAGTACTACTGAAATATGAAGTGTACATTATAAACAGAATGCAAACAATATCACTAAAACAAAGGAAGTACAAAAATATTACATGTGTTTTTTTAGATTATAATTAAACAAGGAAATAAGCTTGTTTGCAAACTCTTTTGAACACGTTGTTGGATAGTTCCTTTTGAGGATTCTCTGAACCAGCCTCTATTTTCCTCTCAAATTTTCTCTCACATCCCATCATTCCCATGTCCATAACATGCCATACAATTCTAAACAGTCATTAAAAGAATATTGACTTTTTAACACGTTTTATATTCCAATTCATGTATTCGTTGCATGTTCTTTTAAATTAAAATGCTCTTTTTGGGATTAAATGAGTTATTACGACAAAGCTACACTGCATCAAGATATATAATATGGAAGACAAATGTAATTATTAATAGAACAATATACTAAAATCTGCATTAAAATAGCTTTCAAGTTATGCAGTTATTCCTCACTGAAGAATTCATTAATGCAGAAGTTATACAGGAATCATGGTGAATTATCTTGAATTATTGAATATAAAGAACACTACATGCTTCTGTGTCAGCCTGACAGATCTTTCTACTTCTTGAATCCTTCTAGAAGTATTATGCACTCACCATTACAACTTTTGAGGTTATGGCGATGAAACAGGCAAAAATCTATGAACAACCGCCTATGAAGAGGACATTCTAAGCTACAATTTCACTTCTTCAGGGAATTTAAGAGCCAGGCATGATCTTGGCTAGCTTTAGATTCTCTATGCCTATAAACATGCCTATTCTTCTGTCTTAAACCACAAGCTACTTGGACAGTTATAAACTCTATATAGTGCATAGCAGACTCTGGTAAATGTGTGCATAAGAAAACCAACACAATATGCCAAAAGCACAAGTAACATCTCAAAGGGACAAAAATTACAAGTGTGTTAAATACCCAGAATATTCAGCAATCAGCAGCAACAGTTCTGTAAATCTTTAGCACTGACTGATTCAGGAATGTTTGCTTTTTAATAGATTCTGTACTCCATCAGAATCTGCTGTCAATGCTTCTGAACCTTCCCTAGTGTACTTTACACCACGAATGAAGATTACTGGATGAAAAAAAATGGCATACCAAGACCAATTCTGATAGAAAAATAAATATTACGGTTGTCTATGTAATCTATAAAATATTCCTATTAGATTAACTACAGAAGGCTCTCTTCAGTATTCATGTCTGCACTCCAGAACTTTCAGAACTACTTCTATATTTATAACTGCCTATGATATTCTGCTCTCTGCACCAAGTAAATTGCAGCATTCATTTCACCAAGCTGGTTGATTACTCACTGTCTCTCTGTCCTTATTTGATCCTGCTATAGCTAAAGTAGAGGTACTTAGAACAGAAAATCCTTTCTTAGTATTTAAATACAACAAAGCTGTAGATAATAGCTGTTACTTAGAGATTTAACTTTAGAAGTGAATGTTCACCTACAAAATTTGAGATTCAATGTTTAAAGAAAAAATGAGCCAGCAAAGATACTGCAGTAAGTAATTCAGTGCAGCAATAATTCATCCAGTGTAGTGTGAGTTTGTATCGAGGTGAGGAGTACAGAGAAATGTTTAATCTGAGTTAGAAAGAAGAAAAACATCACATTTGCACTGAACCTAAAGACCCATCTGCCCAGGCTAATAAAGTCTAAAAGGCACTAAGAAGGATGCCAAATCAATTAGTATTTCTAAGCATTAAAATTTGCATTGCCCAAAAATAATACCATTAACTTAAACTATACTTAAGCAACATCTTTCTGGAGTTCATAAGATTAACAGCTAGAACTTAGAGCACTAACATAACAACACAAGTAAAACTATCAAAATAAAAAATGAATGTGGATTGCTTACTTCACAAACAGTTAAGCAAAAAGAAAAGTCATAAGCATGTTGAATTCCATTGGCATACCATATCCTGACTCTAGATAACGCAAATTCAGAATGCACAAGTGTTACACGGCAAAAAAAGTCCATAACTTACAAACAGGAAAAGAACAAACACATCCTTCTCAGGGGAAGAAGAGTAATGAAGAATCAGCTTTACCTGCTGTTCTGCAGTTAGAGATGTTCTAATGTTCTGCATTTCTTCATTCTTTCTTCTTTCTTGTTCTTCAAGCTGCTCCAAGAATTTCATTTTTTCTTCCTGAAGCTTTTCTTGAAGTTCAGCAACCAAGCTTGATTCAGCAGATGATTCAGTGGGAGGACTTAAAAGAAAATGTTTAGGCTTTAAATTCATTGTATATATAAGTCCCAGACTATATGAAATAAGTAAACACACAAGTCAGAAGTTAGTTTTGGGACATTTTTTCAGAAATATTTAGTGAATATTGTATTCAAATTAAGTCATTCCTACTCTTCAATTTTATTTTTAAACACATGCACCTCACCAAATTCTTATTCTTGGCCATTCTGTTTTCCAGTGACCATTAGCGTGTCTATACTGTTAAAATCTGCTTGAGGGGGGAAGACATGTTTTTACTATTTGAATAGATGGAATGCAAAGCAGAAGAACAAGAAACAATGACAGGCCAAATCCCTGAAGATTTTTACTGTGTCAAAGGGTAATGCCTCCAGAACACTTAAAAAAAGTAAGCAATTCAACAATAAGAAATCCAGATGTAAAAGAATACTGTGGGTTGCAGAATCTAGAGATCAGCAGTAATGATCAGAAAGAAAAGCATTAATTGTCACTCAAGCATGAAGAATAAGAACCTTAAGTGGCTTTTGAAGCAGATGATCTTACATGGATAAAATATTTTCTAATCATTGATTTCAAAGCACTACCTATCCTTTTCCAAGGTCTGGCATGAATTATCATAAAGCATCCCTTTATAAAGTACTGGAACAGACAAATCCCTTCATTGAGCAACTTTTGTTAAAACCTGCACTATTTGAAATTCTCATTCTTCTATTTTGTGCTGGATTGAACTTCAATTTATTTATAAATAAAGTCTAGCCATGAGAGTGTGTGTGTGATGAGCATTATGACCCAATGCAATAAAGTTTCTCTATATGGAGAAGCTTCACCACTAATTGTAGTCTTATGAACTGGCTGGAAAATACCAAGGCTGGAAGATACCAACTTCTAACTTAGTTCACAAAGCAGTCCTATCATACTCTTTGTTTGTTTGTTTGTTTCCCCCAAGTATTATAAATCAAGTTAACCAAACTGCTTAATGACAATCATTACAAAAATTGCATCGTTCAACTAATCTCCATTAATCCCAGTTCAGCACAGTACACACTATGTATGTAAGATCACATAGAAGAGTTACAAATGGGTTATAGTTCTATTACCTCTCCTAATCCTGATAACTTCCAGGCACTTAATAACCAAAACACACATTTTCATATATTGGTAATGCACAGGTAACATACAAGTTCAAAAATGAAACTCCTGATACCAGCAAAATATTCAGGTCAAATTTAACAACTTAAGTCATTGCCAGTGCCTTCTGGAATGTTAACGTAACAGTGATCTTGCAGAAAAGGACATTTATGTGACGAACAAAAGTTTCTTTCTAACATTACAAATTAACTTCTAAGCAACAATTCAGCGAGGATAACAAGTCAACTGCAATTACTGACGTAACTTAAGCTTTTAGGAACTCAAAAAAAACCAAACAGCTAGACAGTGACTTTGAAATAGTAAGACAGATCTACATAACATATGCCTTCTGGAGATGAAACACATCCTAGAAAAAAAGCAACATAACAGCAGATAAAAGGCACAAAGCGAAGCCTAAGGAGGCAATACATATTTTAACATTGCACTTCAAAACTAAAAACTACTTGACAGAACTCGTAATTACTAATGCTTCATCAGACTGAAGCAGACAACATTTCTTTGAAATACATAGGTATCAGTTTTATTCAGTTTGAATAGAAATACACAGAGCTTTGCTCAGTTGTTAAAATTTAAATGCAGATGGTGGTTTTGTTGTTGCTGTGTGTTTTTTGTTTAAAGTCTGCTACATCTCTTCCCTACTGAGTCACATTTTTAATCTTCTACAAATACTAATACAAAGACAAGCTTTGAATACAGCATTTGATGCTTTCCCCTCCTCATTCCACCATATTTTATTAAATTTAGAAAATATTTTAAGAAAGAGGTCTTAACTGTAATTCAATCACTGAATCTTAAATCAAGAAGTGTATCACTATTTCAACCTTTTCTGCACAGAGATACATAAAATGTCGACACTGATACAACGTCAATGACAGATATGTTAGCATAGCAAAATCCTGAGGTAATGGAGATGATCTGGATATTTCAAGTGAAGTGGATGCTTATATTTCTCTTTCCACCACAGAAGTGAGTTGTGTGTACACTGGATCACAGGATTCTTTTTATAACCCCTCCCTCCATTCAACTTAGAAAAAAACACCATTACGTTGACATTTAAATATTAAATGTTAACTTAAATTTGTGTTCATGTTTTCACTGTTCTTTTTCTATCCATTCTATCATTTTTTCTATTTCAAATACTTGATAATATTGTACTGTACCAGAACAAAAAAAACCTTAGATATTGTACTAACAAGATTTAACCTTGGAGTTCTAAGACAATCCAAGAACATTAAAGACAAATTTGAGCATTTCAAAATAGAATATTGTTTTAGGCCACGGTCACAGAGAAAAATTCTAATATTTCCATTACACAATATCACAATTTACTCTGCAGACAGCATTATGAACTAGCAGACAGATTAGAAACAGGAAGTCAGGAGGCATAACTTGGCTTTTATGGGAAGGAATTTTTTTCCCCAGATTGGAAAAATATTGCAGAAATTAACAATGAAGAACAGTCATCCTATGATGCTCTTTAAAATGATATTGCCCAAATGTGTTTCATTATAAAGCTCAAACTGAAGACCCTGAAATATGTAACTATAGCAGTTAAAGTCAGTTGAAGTTCAGGTGGCTGTGGGACTGCCCTCAGCTGCTCATATATTCTCCTGCAGTTTTTCATGGCAACATTGGCATATCCATAACGGTATAGTCAATCAGTATGAGAACATTATCAACCTAAAAGTTAGGCACCACATGGTGTCACAGTACTAGTGCCAGAGCAAAGGATGGAACAGGAGAAACGGGCTAAGAGCATCAAAAATTGAATTTCAGGCAATTGTAATAATATTCTTTCAGCATAGCATTACAAAACTGAAATATAAAACCTTAGTTGTTGTCTGAAAATAATACTTAAAAGGCATCTGACAAACTGTGACTAACTACACACAGGAATATCACTACCTACAAAATGAAAGTAACTTGAATAAAAAAGATGCTATTACAAATATGTAGAAGTTTTACTTAATCTGGTGTATTTATGCTGCAATATGCAGTAATTACTTTAGAACACAAAGATAGCACAGCAACTTAATCCTTACAGTACCTCTGATTTACTTGCATCTCAAGTTGTTGTATTTTTTCCAAAAGCCCTTTTTCAGCAGCTTCCTTTTGTAATTCGAATTCTTTACAAGCAGTTTGTACAGCATCTTCTTTTTCAGAATTGAGTTTCTGAATCAGCAACTGCTTGTCTTGTTCTTGGTTAGATACTAACAGATCTTTCTCTTCCTTAAGTCTATGGATGATAGCTTCATATTTTTCCTGCTGCTCACAGAGTGCCATTTTTTCTGTTTTTTCCTTTTCTAGGGCATCCTTTTCCAACTCTAACTTACACTGCAGTTCTGTTATTTGATCCGAAAGTCTTTTTTCTGCTTCAGAAGTTTTTTGATGCAGAACCGTTACTTTGTTTAGTTCAGTTCTAAGCAAATTGGATTCTTCTTCATATCTGTCAACTAGCTCGGAAATGCATTGATCTTTCTCAATTGTCATTAAAGTTCTTAGTTCTGATAAGCCCACTTGATATTCATCACTGCTAACTTGTATCTTACTGTTTAATTTCTCTATCTCTTTTTTTAAGCTTTCAGTTTCCTTATCAATTTGAGATTTTAAGGTCTCTTGTTGCTGGTTTCGGCTTTCTTCCAAGAGAAGCTTCATTTCATCAGTTTCTGCTTCTTTCAGGGCAAGTTCAACTTCTAATTTGCACCTCAAATCAGACAGATCTGAAACTTTGAGTTTTAACTCTTCTACCTGTTGTTGTTTCTCCTGCACAATTGCTGCATGAGATTCCTGCATTTGTTCAAGTCTATGCTGGTTCTCTTTTTTTAATTGATCTAAACTGTCCTTGTGCTCAGCAAGCATCTTCTCAAATTCCTGTAAATGCCTGGCCTGAAGGTTGTTTTCCAGTTCTTTTAAATGGCTTTGTTCTAAACTCTGGAGTTCTGCCCTCAGGAGTTGTAGTTTTTCATCATTTTCAACATGAAGTTTTTTCAAGTCTTCGAGTACTATCTCTCGTGACTGTCTCAGTTTCTTAATTTCAGAATTCTGTGTCTCCATTTGGCATTCCAATTCATGTAGCTTCTGATCTTTTTCATTCTGAAGGGAAACTACAGCTTCCTTTTCATTTTTCACCATTGCAAATTCATCGTTCTTATTCTGAAGTACTTCTTCAAGGCCTAACAAGTCACCTTTTAACTTTACAATCTTTTTTTTGCTTTCCTCATCATCCTCCAGTAATTTATTAATTTTGGTTTCATATTCGCTTTTCAAAGACTGCAGTTCTTTTTGATGTTTATCTTTTAGTGTTTTTTCAAGTGAAAGTTTTACCTTTTCAATAGTATTTACTATTTCTATAGAAGTGCATTTTAAAGAATTAGAAAAGTCACACTGTTCTTTTTGTACAAGTGTTCTAAAGTGACAAAGATCTTCTTTTATACCTCTTAGATGTACTTTTGAATCTTGAGCAATTACCCTACACTTCTCCACGCAAACACTACGAGAAGCATTTTCTACTGAAATGTCCTTTACGCAAGAACTTGTGTCTTGCATACGTCTACTGTCTATTGCATTGATAACTGAAGAGTAAAGAGATTCCACCATCATTTCAGGACTCTGTGGATCACTTATAACATTAGGAGAGACTGGATTTTCTTCTATTACAAATTCATTTACTGCTGACATAAAGTCAGATTCTGGACTTTCTGCTAATGAATCCAAGTCCAATGATCCTTGCTTGAGAGCTTGCTCCAGGTTTGGGTGGGCAATAGTTTCAAAATCAAATGTATGAGCATCAATGCTGTCTGGTGACAGTTCCTCTAGTGGAGCAGGGGGGCACACAGGAGGACACAGGGGACCCTGAAGACTGAGTGATGGAGGAGTTCTTGAAGAGGTAGCAATTGTGGTTCCTGTTGTACTTTCCATCCTTGGTGTAGTAGCAGATTGTGGTGATGTTTGACTATTGGAGGCCTGCAAGTTAAAAAATGCAAAGCAAATATTTAAGATGATATGTAAAAGTCTGGGCAAATGTTTGAAACTGATTAAAAATTACCAGGCAAAAGTAAAATGAAGAAGTCAGTCTTATCTGTAAGGATGTAAAAATAACTAACTTAAAAATTCAACTAAAAATAGCAGAAATTGCAAATGGTACTTTTCTGAAAATTATTAGAAAATTCCTCACATACCTAACTATCAAGAGTCCATTTATATAAAAATTCTACAATATTTTGAAAGTAGTCAAAACGTAAGTTTAGATGATAACAAAAAAACTGAAGTAGTCAGAAATAGACATTCTTTGTTTATTGACAACCTATTAAATTTGTTTTTCCTAATGATTTTGTTAGTTAAATTACTTATTTTTTGCTAATACAGCTTTATAAACCAGGCTAATTCAGTCACTGATAATGAATATTAAATTAAGAAGGTTTACCAAAAATTTTAGTATAAAATATACAAAATTGTTGCCTTCTAACATGGTTATAAAAAATATTTAATGAGAATGTCTGCTTCTGAGATCAGTGAGTGAAAAGAATGTAAAAGAAGGTTAATACAACAAAGTGCACATTCTAAGTAAACATAACATTCTCACTTTTCAGAACTAAGGACATCACACTTTGTGTAGATTTATTCTTCCATGTTGCTTCTGACACTACCAATTTCTGTCATTTTGCCTAGAGACACTGGAACATCACCAGGTCTGATTCTGGAGCTCCAGATCATTCAGTCTTCAAATGAAACTGTAGGGTTTAGAATAACTATCCATAATCATTCCTGAGCAACAGTAGTTTGTAATTTAGCAAAAAAGGTTATACTTTTTAACCTTCACGGTGCTATTCCCAAGTAAAACTGACCAATCCCAATGGTTTTGATATTTTAAAGGCTAAAAACTTCCCTCACGCCTATCTTCCAATTCATTGGTATTAGATAATATGTTTAAATCATCATCTTTAATTCTTATTCAATACTGTTGAATTATGAATTATGAAGCAAGATTTCAAGCTCTGCATACACTACTGAGAAGTCTAAGTTCATGTACAGTCTTTGAAAATAAATCCTAGTAATCCAGAACATTTCAGAAGTGTAGATGCTTTTCTATACTGTTATGGAACACATACTTTAAGTGAATTCAGTTCAAGTTTGATTTATAGCTACAGCAGCTGTAGGCTATACAATCACCATGGAAGCCAAAAAGCAATATTCAGCCTCTGTATCCATAAAGGATATAACAGCATATAACAGCATGGAAGAGAAAGCAGTTTTTCTCAAGAAAGTTACAGTAAAATACACATGGTTAAAATACTTAAGAAGAATATTTGTGATGTGCAGGACAGAAAAACAGGAGCAGGACCATCAAGATTGCAAATCAAAGGAGATATTAAGATTTTAGAGTGGATAAGTTTTCTAAAAGATCTCAGGTGCACTGTCTGTAACAGTATAGCCCAACCATGTTCTTCCATTCTTCACCCCTGAAGGACTTATTTGATCTTATTAGTTTGAGAAATGAGACCATGATAAAAACAAAAGATGTTGTCAAGACTCATGAGAAAGTTTACAGTAGATGATTCACATGTGTTCAGTCTCAAATACTGGACATCATTCAGAACGGTGCTGTCTTTCAAAGAGCCAACACTTCCTCCAGCTACAGTAATAATAATCTTACTCATGTCTCTTTTCCAAAGAACACGTGCTGTCTCTCATGCTGTCTTTAGTCATCACAAATGAATACAAGTCATAAGAGACAACTTGAAGAGCAACGTTCCTTTTGTTAAAGGTATTATTAGTCCATATTTCAAAACCTGCCTTGAGATCAACTTGCTTTTTAGCTACAGAAATTTACAGAAGAACACGTTGAAAGATAAGGTACATGATGATAAATGGACTCAAATCATATGCTTTAAGCAACAAGCATTTAATACTGATAAACCAGAGTTTCAATTGTAATAAAAGCTAGCATCAGAGATGTCACAAACTAAAAACACTTCAGGGAGTGAATATTCTAAGGTAGTACATGCAAAGCAAAGATGGTACCAATTCTAGTGTGGTCCTGCAGGAGTACCAAGAAGGTAGAGAGTAACTATACAGCATGAAGAGTAAAAACCACAACTCTTCACGTATGTATGGAGCATAGTCTGTAGGGAGCTTGTTTTCCTCAAAATTAGTGGTTGTAAGAAATTCCATACTCTGCAATGGCTGTTGTGAGCTGTGCCTCTAGTTGCATTACTAGATTACAGCCTCACGAAGAATAAAACCACACATTTTGAGGAACTGAAACTAGATGGAAGACTAGTCGACTGTTGCCTATTCCCATGAGAACCTGATGTCTGCCACGTGCTCTATTTACAGCAATCAATGTGTATATCATACGCTGTTATTCCCATGATAATGAAGGAAAAGGAGTTCAGAGCAAGTAAAGAAAACTAGGAAGCAGAGAGAATAGCAGAGCTAACTTTTAGGTTCTGCAGTATTGCTAGGTTACATATATTGCCCTGGTTATATTACTAGGAAAACTCATGGACAAGGAATTGGGCAATTCTTTTAAGGATTACAAACAGCATTGAATTTTGAACTCAACTAGAACAAGCTGTAGATTCATAATCTCATTTGAAAAGGCAGCTTCTCTTACAAGAGCAACTTTTAATACCACAGGATTGCACATGTTAATTACCTGCTACCTATGATGATGACACCTTAATCATCTTACCTCACTCATACAGGCACCTTAACTTTCTCCTAGATATCTTTAACCTAATCGCTGATCCAATTAAACTCTGTATCAGAAAAATGAAAGGGCACAGCAATCTCTTTGATGTGAGGCCATTAAACAGAATACGCAGAAAGCACTAAAAACATTTCAAAATTAACAAATTATTTAAAGAAGAATGTTGTTCCTTTCTGTTTACTCTGATGTAATACTAGAAGAAACTCAAAGACGCATTTCATCATTATCCTTCCATGAACTTAAAAGCTGTCATAATAAGATTTAAGCAGACACAAACCACACATTACTAACATCCCCAAAATGGTATTGGAACCCCTCTCTGACTTACTCTTTGTTCACCTGGCTGCAATCACAGCTTTTCTCTCCTGCCTAAAGCAAACGCA